CCGTATTACGTCTCTGAGTGTGCTGCATTAATTCATGAGTAAGACTTGGTTCAAACCAATCAGCGCGCTCTGATGTGTATGCATGCAACTTCATTTATATGCATGCTCGCTTCGAAGACTGTACCTGAAACAGTGTTCAGACGGCAGAGAGACGACGCATTGTGTTGTCAAAAGAAGTGGGAAAAGAATAAGAATAGTTTGGAGATACGGGTCGTCAGTGTTGCCTTTTTAATGTGCTGCAATGAAGGTTTTGTTTTCATTTTCCCTCTGAGAGCACAACTGGACTCACGTCTGGATCAGTGCATGCGACACGCAGCAGAAATACGTTTGTACAGAACATTTTTTACTCGAGAGCTTTTCGTGTCTGGAAACGGTGAAATCTGGATTTGTTGCTCGTCTCCTTTAAAAAAAGGTGCAGCTCCAGTATGTGTTGATTGTCCTGTTTCTAAAGATTTGGTAAGTGTGTGCGATCAGCTCCCTTTCTTTGTTCATTCAGATGGCAAAGTTATAGCTCATATCGTCAGCAGTACTCTTTCAGTGTTTAAAGACAGCCCCTAGTCAAATGATTTCTAAGTTACTTAGTTTATGTTGATATCACTACAATTTTATGAACTTAAAGATCTACTGTAAATGCTGCTCTCCAAGTGTAAACGTGAACACTGCAAGCAAACTATTGCCAACCGTCGTGTTTAATTTTTGCCGTATTTTGTGACAGGATTGTCTACACACACACGGCTTTCTGACCTACCGACTGCATCCGAGTTACTGAGAAATTCAGAGTTTCTTTTTTCTTATACGACGTGCGGTATCAAACATTCCACTGTCATAAAACACAGTCACTGTCTTTCTCCCCCGCGTCTGTGTTTGTTTTCCTCTGTGAAAATCAGCACGTACCCAAAAGCAAACTCCTATTTTTATTCAAATCCTTTCCCTTTCCCCTCCCCCGACACTTCTCATCTAAAAGTTCATTATGTGGTCCAACAGCCGCAGTATTTGTCAAACTAAGTTTAGTCCTCCACTTGGTACTCACTATGGGCAGAGTGTTAACAGGTGAAGAGGCTGGAGAAGTTCTGATACTAGCAGGATATTGCACAGCTACAAGCGAATCAGATTCGAGAAACAGAATGAATTAAAAAAACACTCATCTACATCTTAGATGCCCAGAGGGTAAACAAATCACCAGCAAACTTTCTGTTTTGGTTGAATTTCACAGTTAAATGACAGACTTCTGTGTAAGGTCACAATATCTCAAGGAGAGAAACAGTTAAATGTTTTATATTCAAAGTCAGAATGAGGATGAGGGCATGAACTTGGCACCCTAACATCTCAATGAGAAAATAAGACACACTGATGCCAGGAATGTAGTGAGATTGCAACAATTGAGAGCTGCATGTAAAATGGCAAATGGTTGATGAAAGGACTGCAGAGTCATTCCATTACGCCAAGCTTTCTCTGGTCCCGTCTGGCTCCAAAATAGTCATCTCACTGAAGTATCAACAACAGGCTCAGTGTGTGAACTGCAGAGCCGTAGAAGATCTGACCTCAGGTCGAATTCCCAGACATGTGAGATGATGCTCTAATAAAGGCTAATTCTGCATTCTGGGTGGCTGCTATAGCTTTGCTGGATGGTTGCATATGGTCAAAATACTAAAAGAAACTCCTAACACCCAAGTTTTGGCCGCTTATTTAAATGACAAACCCTTTTTTGATGATGACAAATTTTCAGGTGGATTAAAAGAAAAGTTATCATCTTACGTCATGCACATGTGTATTACATATTCAGGCAACAAGCATGTATGAACACTTCATCAATCAAATAATCAAACAATGATAGACTATAGGGGTCTCTACATGACAGGGTTTCTGCCCGTTTCGTCAAGTTTATTTAGGACTTTTTAAGGCTCCTTTTAAGACCATTTTTAATTAAATTTAAAGACTTATACAGGGCTAAACACTAATGATTTAAAGTAATGACCTGGTTGGGCCAATGGAATTAAAAAAAAAAAAAGTAGGTTTTTCTTAACCACATATTTTAATGTGTAAAAACAAGATAACTAGTTATACAGAGTTTTTTTTTTTTTTAAATGACAAGTTCTTTCAAACATTCTTAAAAGTATATTTATTATAAAGAAAATGACATGAATAATCAAATAAATTAATTTATTTGCTTGTTTTTGGTCCAAATAAATTGAGTAGAACTCCTATTCAACCTAATGTGTTTATTTATAACTATTATGTCCACTCACCCTTACTTCTGTAAATAGTTTTTGAGTAAATGTAAGGAGATATATTGCTGTTATTATCATGAGAAACTGTGCAACTGTTTTTGGTTTTCTTTTCCTGATTAGGGAATTTATTTAAGAGAATGTGCTGTAAAATGTCTAACAGCTGTTGTGAATTGTTTCTCTTGCAATAAGAAAACTTAAACAAATATAAATAAAAAAATATTTTGATGGATTGTTGGTCATTTAGATGGGTGTCTATATTTGGAGAAATTCTCAAATTAAGACCTGTTTAAAATGATTTAAGACCTACAACACAACATTTCTGTAAATTGAAGACTTTAAGCCCAAAAATTATGTTTTTGAAAGACTTTTTTAAGACCCAGCAGACACTCTGCATGAAGCTGAATTAGCTGGATACACTGCAAAAACTGTTTTTCTTTTTTTTTTTTTTTTAAATTATGTCTTGTTTCTAGTCTAAATATCTAAAAATATATATAAAATCAAGAACATTTTCTAGACAAGCAAAAATATGTTTGCAAAAATATGTGAAGTTTATTTATAAACTAGTTTCGATAGAATCACAAGATTATGATTGTCCACGGCTGGCCTCACAATACCTAATTATTCACCAATCAGACGATTCCTAACTCGCTATAAATAACCAGTTTCTTACCATGGTTATATTCGTCTTGAACAATGACCCCTCCCACCCCTACTCCTCCTTTTTCTAGATTGGCAACACGGTGGCCCAGTGATTAGCACTGTTGCCTCACAGCAAAAATGCCACCAGTTAAAGTCCCTACTGATCCAGTCGACATTATTGGGCGGAGTTTGCTTGTTCTCTCAGTGCTTGCGTGGGGTTCCCCTGGGTTACCCAGTTTCCGTCCAAAAATATGCAATCTAAGTAAATTGAACATTCTAAAATGGCATCATAGTCGAAAACTTAGTAAGCAGTATATCTCTCTTTTGCTATCCCTTTATCTGTCATAAGCCAGAAATAAGTCAGGGGAATTCATCGAGATCTACCTGAGCTCAAACTCCCCTTTCGTACTGCTAGCAGTAAGAAGCCCAGGGCTTGAGGATCTTATGAGCTCACAGTTCTCTTCCAGGACAGCATGCCAAGCAAGCTTTATTTTCAAATATGAGCTAAGTGTGAACTCTTGAATCTTTTTCTAAACAAGTAACATAATCGTGTCTTTCATTCTGACATAAGATTACTTTGCTTACTGCTTATGGTATTATGGAGCAGCTGAGCTGAGCTACCGTCATGGTACCTAAAACAAAGAATTGGTGCAAAATAAACTTATCTGGCTAGCAAGCCTATCTGGCTTCATAGTACAGGCTCCAGGACTGGTTTGGCATGCTAAATACAGCATATTTAGTCCATATGAATGAGGATTGTCTTGAAAACTTTGTATGCGGAATTCATCTTAAGATTTAAAAGGAAAACCTCTGGAAAATTGAACAATTTGGAAGCAAATGTCTATTACAAAAAGAATACTTGGCAACAATAGTGTCAGGTGCTCTATTAGGTCAATAATTATCAATATGATTGTAATTTTTGAGTAAAGATGAAAGATTTCAAGGTCAAGCTATTTTACAGCAATTTTTTTTTTCAAGGTCAAGCTATTTTACACAATAACAAGTGGACATTTCTCTAACTTGATTTAATAATGTGAGGTTGAATGAAGAATGAAGATGTTTTATCAAGCATATACCCCAAATTGCAATGCTCACGTCTGTCAAACACATATGATAATAAAGAGGCTAGCTTTGTGAATAAGCTAAAAATTTTCTATGAAAAAAATGCATTCGTTTTGGTCCTTTAAAAGGTTCACGAAATCCTCGAGTACTTTTTTGGAGATTTTAACAGATTTGTGTGTGTTGAGCATCAGTTAGGATAATGTAAACACTTGTCACCTTTAATTGTGGGAAAAACTGGATAATTTTGAGATTTTGTCAGCTAATTTCAGCTTCCGGGTTTTAAATGATTTTTGGGACGGGATCAAAATCGGCGATGCAGAACTGCAAATGGAAAGATGAGGTTTCGGTTTCTCTTTATTAATCATAGAGGAGTTTTCTTATCCTATGAGAAGAGTCGGCTTTTTAATTATTCATGAGAGCATGTGCTTTCCGAAGGCAAGGTAGACCTGCCAGTGCCAAGCTCAGATGTGAAATCCTACGTTGATCAGGAGTGCGTTCACATTTAGACACATCGCCGTGCTGCTGTGTTTGCCTCTTCCAGACTACCAGCAGGGCTAATGGTTAAAATAGACAGGGCAGAGACCTGCTGCACTGAGTCTGCATTCAGACCCGGGGATTGAGGGAAAAGTCCTCATTTAGTGTTTATATGAACACGATTATCTTTGTAATGATATAAATTGTGGTTGTGTGTATATGAAATTACGAATGTAGCAGGGCATTAAATTACTGTTTATTTCTTTGCATTTTAACTTTGTAAACTATAAAATCATGGGTCTCCTCATTTTGTGAGCCGACTGACAACAGTTGTTCGCTCCCCTCCTTCTCCCCTGCTCTGCTGGCCTCGCCCACTCCTGCCCTTTGCTCGCGGAGCTCCATGCCTATTATGATGCAACTTTTGAAAAAAATCTGAGGTGAACCTGAACTGAAAGTTGGGGGTGTCATGGCCCCTTACAATAACTTAATGGAATAGAAATGTTAGGTTCATGTGATGCAAAAGTATGCATAATGGAATCAAACACAAGTACATTATTTAAAAAACAAAAAAACAAAAAACAAACTCAGAAATGCAGATTGTTCTGTTTAAAATTTAATTTGAAAACTTGTCATTGTCCAACAGGGGAGGAAAAAGGGTCTGCAAAATCATTAAATTTAATACAATTCATTTTAGACATTGCATGGCAGTCTGAAGAAAGTATCTCTGTAGAGGATCAAAAACCCACTTCTTGACATCCACATTCTGAATGCCGATATAAACAAACTAAAACCCCTTTAACTATCCTGTACATTCTCTTCTTGTTTGCCTTGGTTGTTTAAGAATTAAAAAAAAAAAAAAAAAAAAAACATCAAAGCATATGAGAAACCTTCCAAAAGTCATGCTGCTCCAAAACAACAAAAAGAAAAGCTTGTGGCACAGGAAACGCACATGATGACAGGACGCTGTATCAAACGTGATTAAGGAAACGAGGCACAGAGTTCATAAGAGTTGAGCTCTCAGTCGGTTTTTGGCAGCTGTGTTTGAGGAGATCCTCAAGATGAACAATGGAGACCAAAGGAGATCCAAAACACACTTAAAAAGAGACACAACTTGACTTGAGGAAATTTCGCTTCAGGACTGAAAACAATGTTCCCAGATGTTCATGTCCAGGATGACAGGAGCTGGAGTGTTAGTGTTGGATAAATGTGTGACTCGGCATGTGTGCGAGGTAAATAGTGCACACGAGAATAACAACCCTGCCATCATTTTTGAAGTAGAAAAAGGAAACGTGAAGAAATCCATGCTCCTTTCTCTTGATTGTACAGAAAAAGAGCAGCATGCACATTGTTCAAATCTTCTCCTTAATCTTTTCACAGAAAAAGAACACAACGTACAAGTTTAAAACGACACGAACTTCAGTAAACAACAATAAAACACACTAAACAATCCAATCCAATAAACTGAAGAAAGGTTTCTCTTGTGCCATTTTCATCAGCATGGAAATGCTAGACCAGAGTGAAAGTGATGATCAAATTTTCAGAAAGTTTGACAGCATGACTAAAAACTGAAGCTATTTTTCGAGTTGGCTTTGTATACGATAGTCAATGTTAAATTGTGTGGTATTGCAAAGTAGGCTGTGTTGTTAAAGCCTAGTTATGAACCACCAGGTCCTGATATGTATGGTGGAAAACACAAGACAACAAAAATGACAACAAACAAATAAACACTGACAAATAAAATAACTTTTTTTTCATACAGGTATCCGTCAGCCCCATCCAAACCAGTTTTTACCTCTGCTTATGAGATGAAATATTACAAAATGAAAATATGTATCCGACGTTTCAATGTAACAGGTGCCATCTCTGTCAGAAAAGATTCTGCAAAATTTGGTATAAAAATTGTAAGTTCTAAACGGAGCTACTGATCAACCATCTTCACCAGATGAATATGATGTCTACAGAAAACCCTATCCTTTTCAAAACACTGCAGAGTTCAACCTTCAGGCTTTCCATCATTGAAGTAAATAAAAAGAAATCTAAATGGATAGCATTTGTAGTAATAAATAAAATCTTATATAGCACTCAGGCATGCTCAGTGTAACTTCAATAAGTCAATAATTTGGTCGATCCCATAATGGGCGTGAAAACTAGGGATATCATTATGTGAGCGGCCCATTTGAAGGTCATTTGACTGGATTTTAAATAGACATCACTGCTAGTGCAGAACTAGCATGTGCAAATTTGGTTTCACACAAAAGCCCCATATACTTAAAAAAATAACTATTAAAGAGGGAATATTAGATCACTCACAAATAAAAAGGGATTCAGGACATGATAAAAAGAAGAAGATAAAAGGGGAATGAAGAGAAGTTTATCACGAATGCTTCTCAACATGAAAAGAATGAATAAAGGAAATATTAAAATAGAAGAAAAGATAGGTAGTGTAAAATGGGGAAGAAAGGGGCAGCAGGGGCTTCTTCATACAAACTGCAACTTTCCTCCTGATCCAGCCGGGCCTTGCCTGAGGCACTTGATCTGATCACTGCTCAAATGGAGCTAGCAGGGGGAGTTGTCAGTCTTTTCCCGATATAGACCCTGCATTAGAGACAAAAAGAGAGCATAGATGTCAGACACCGTGTATGTGGAATATTATATCACATACTGTAGTTATTGGTCGTATATATAGAGTTAGCATGATATATCAAGAGATTTATTTTAATATAACACATAAATGGGTCATTTTTGATTATGCAAATGCGGATAGTTTTGAAAGTGCTGTATAAGCATGAAATTTGTCAAAGTGCAAAAAGCTGTTTTGGCTACGTAGCCTTAGAAAGTACTGTTTCCTATGAAGGGTGCATGAGCTTTCTGCATACAAATTTTAGCTAAACTTTTTTACTTCAGCAAGTGAGTGCCACATTGTGTTTACCAGCCAGAGCAAACTTGTCCAGTATTTACACTGCAGTCCTATTGATGTGCAAATTCACATGGTCAAAATTAAATAATTTCACACTGAGATAAAATGGAGTAATAAAAAACGATCATTAATTTCCTTTGAGGGCAGATGACTTTCCCTATGGAGGACATTGAGTGCCAGTTAGAAATAAAATAATCAAATTATTAGTTTAATAATTTAAGCATAAAATGTATATAAATGACAATTTAAATGAACCCATAATGGACACATAAATAGACATATCTAAAAGTGTTTATTTAAATTGTGTTGTTAAATGTCGTAATATCATTATGTGCAGTTTATTAAAATAAAAATGTTGGCTCGAAAAACGCATTCTTTTGACTTTGCTGGCCTGTAGTAACATCACCCCTGTAGACTAGTAACGTCACCCCTGAACTTTCTATACAGACAGTAGCTATTTTTCCATCCAATTTTTATGCGCATAAAAAAACGGTTGATGGAAACGCAAGATGCAAATAAAACAATCGGATCAATCAGCAGTAACGCGGTCAATGTACCGGTACGTTGTGGCGAAGAAGGAGCTGAGCCAAAAGCAAAGCTCTCGATTTACCAGTCAATCTACGTTCTTACTCTCACCTATGGTCATGAGCTTTGGGTCATGACCAAAAAGACAAGATCTCGGATACAAGCAAATGAAATGGGTTTCCTTCGCAGGGTGTCAGGGTGTACCCTCATAGACATGGTGAGGAGCTCTGTCACCCGGGAGGAGCTCGGAGTAGAGCCGCTGCTCATCCACATCGAGAGAAGTCAGCTGAGGTGGCTCGGGGATCTGTTTCGGATGCCTACCTAAGGATGTGTTCCAGGCATGTCCCACCGAGAGAAGGCATCAGGGAAGACCCAGGACACGCTGGAATGACTATGTCACACTGGAGGGACTATGTCTCTTGACTGGCCTGGGAACACCTCAAGATCGCCCCGGAGGAGCTGGAAGAAGTGTCTGGGGAGAGGGAATTCTGGGCTTTTCTCCTAAGACTGCTGCCCCTGCAACCCGGCCCCGGATAAGCAGATGAAAATGATGATGATGACAATGATGAAGAAATTATGCGCATAAACTATGATGGAAACACTTTTACCAAATGAATTCCAGTATGAGCATTAAAAAAGGTGATGTGATTTTATTATAAGAGATCATGTGATTAGAAAAATGTGTGTGAATGGACAAACCAGCAGGTTGAGCACATTGTAAAACATCTGAAATGTTGTTTTGGTCATTCTAAAACACCTTAACCATTTCAGTATTCGTGTTATTATTATTATTCACTCTGAGTCTTACACCTTTAAAGGTGCAAGTAATTTACTAAATAAGGAAAAAATTGATGCAGCTTCTGCTACCGAAGCAAATGTTTTTACTTTTCATTTTTGGCACCATTTAATCAGGAAGTGACGATTTTGTTCTCTATAGAAACGCTGCTTTATTCGCACATCTTTTATGCAATATTCAAGTTGTGCATAAAGTTGATTAGCATTTTTGAATGGAACTATAGCTAGTGATAATCCAGATGTGAATTTCTTTCACAGAAATCAGCTACAGCTAATAAATCATCCACAAAACCATATCCAAACACTTTAAGAGTGCCCTTAGGTAGCTGATCTTTAAACTCTTGCTAAAATGAGCTATAGTTTTCTCTGTCCAATGACAGTGTGTGTTTCATTTATAAGTGAGTGAGGGTTTAGCTCGGTGAAAGTTGATTGGTTGCTTCCACATGTGTACTTTCCACTGGGATTTTTTAGACCTCATTTTATTTCAACTCAAGAAAAGAAAAAGAAAACCCCGCAAAAAAGGGACAACCCAGCAAATAATTTTGTCTTTAATAGACGTCTAATAGACATCTTAACATAGACAGCTTGGCTAAAACAAGACTAAACTTGGGGTGTCAGTGAAAAAATAATAGACGTCTCAGAATAGACCAAAACTATACTAGTCGTCAAATAGACAGATTAGACAGACTTAATATGTGTAGCCCTTCATTTCTGTTTATTTAATGACTAGTCTAGTTTTGCCCTATTCCTAAACGTCTATTAGATTTCCACAGACTGCGCAAAAGTATCCTTATTTTAGCCAAGACGACAATGTTTATACATTTATTAGACATCTATTTGACATCTTTTAAAAAAAAAAAGCTTGCTGGGAAACAGGTATTTGTGAAAGCCTTTTAAAAAAGCTATTTAAATTTATTGTTTAAATTATCTATAAATATACTTTTTTACCTTTTGATTAATGAGAGTTTTAAAACATAAATAAATAGTTATAAATTGTCTATTTATTTATAAATGTAAATGTTATTTTTAAATGCATTGTTTTATTGCTTTATTAAATGACATCTAAAAACACATTTTAATAAACAATATGTCTTTTCAATATGTCTATTTATTTCTCCATTATTTGTTCATTTAAATTGTGGTTCATTTATATACATTTTATGCTTCAGTTATTAAATTGACAATTTGATTCTTTATCTTATTTCTAATTGGCACTCCTGGTCCTTCATATTTCCCCAAGTGTGAATGTGAAATTGCCACACTAACCAACACAACCCTGCTCAGTTGGAAATTGGCTTCTGTGTGAGCTGTGCTTTATAAATCACTTTACAACAGACAATAAATAAAACACCATTTATGCCTGAAAAAAAAATCACAGTGGGTGTGATTTTGTCAAAAAAATAAAAAATAAAATAAAATAAAATTCCCTAACCTCTAGGGGGTTGTGGGAGTTTTCAAACAGGAGGCTGCCAACTAATTGTTTAGACACATCTACAAAGCGCTCATTAAGGACCATCTGATGCTTTTTACAAACAAAATGCAGAAGCTTTCCAGAAACTGCATGCTTCAATCTGAAGGTTTTTTTTTTTGTGTGTGCATGGATTTGACAGTCCTGGCCTGTTTCCTGAATTTTGTAGGATTTATTGTTTGGAATATTGTCCTTTAATTTTTGGCTACTTCTGTGTTATTTCCACCTTGAATGCATGCCATGTTGCAATAATGAGTGCCAGACTTGAGAGGAACTAAGGGCGGAATGTGTGTCAAGTTTGACTGAGCATTAAGGAGTATTTACCCGAGACCCAGGACCAGGATGTGGGACAGAAGCAGCGATGGGATAAACACTTTGAGAAACTCAGCAGAGAAGATGCCTCCTTTCTTCATGGCTCCAGTCTTCCTCATGCTAAGAGTCACTGAACGCCGTGGGTGCCGGAAATGAAACTCCCTGTCAGAAAGATAAATCCAGCACACCGTCATCAAAACAGCATCATTACGCCTGCAAACATTTCACACTACTTAAGAAGATGAAGAAAAAACAGATAAACATTATAATATTTATAATTATATTATAAATATTATATTATATTATTTATAATATAAAATATTGGGGCATTACTGGAAAAATCCTGACACAAGTACCATTTATTAATTTTAATATATTTAATGTTGGCCTAAATAAAGAATATGAACACTTCATGGAACATTCCCCATAATTCTCTTTAAATTAAAATGAAAAATGTTCAATTAAAGTGAAACATTTTAAAAATAATTATTTATTTTAAATAGCAGTAAGGAAAGCTTGCAAAGCTAAAATGAAAAGTACACTTTTGCTGAGCATTTGTGCCTGCTAGTTTGTTTTGGTGAGCATTTGTTAGCCTAGCACATGCTAATGTTGAAAAAAATTATTTGTGATTCATCAACGACAAACTGTTTTTAGTGTTTTGAAGTAGCTCAACAACCTGCTAATGCTGCTCAACTGCTGTTGGTAATGAATGATGCTATTAGCATGATGCTAATACGAGAGACAGTTACAACCTATGAAGAGCATCTATAATCAAATATTTTGTTTAGATTAGTATCCAGTAAAAACACTCATTTAGTTCACCAGGTTTTTACATAGCTACAGTTGTTGAAAGTTAAACTATCAGCTCTCCTGTGAAAACTGTATTCTTTTTTTAATACATGGGCCTATATTAATTCTCTAATTAATGTTAGCCCAGCTACATGCTATTGTCAGAATTAACCAATACTTATCAGTGAACACACTTGCTGCAGATGAGTGACCTTGACAGTGTTTTTGAGTGTTGGGTATGTTAGCTTAAAGGGGAAATGAAGCACTCAGTCAAGTTTCACTTATTTTGTACATTTGATTCCACTTTAATGAAAATATATTAAACAAACTTGATTAATGTAACCATTTAGCAGAAAATGGCATGGTTTACTATAGATTTTAGACCTAGGGTGCAGCCATCTTGGAATGTCGCTGTGTCTGACGTAACGGGGTTGGTTCAGTTCCCTGCGCTGAGCAGTTACAATGGAAGTAAAGGAGACTGTAAAGCCTACTTTAACCCAATGTTTGAAGTTGTGGACGTAGAGATGCTGCAAATACAAGCATCAGATATGTGTCTAAAATAAAAGTATATATATTTATCCTATTTTTATTTTTCTGCCTTTAAATTATCGATCATTTGATGCGCTTTGATTCACTCTCTGCATTACGCTCCCTGACTGCCTGTCTGTAATTGTAACAGACTGAACACAGACACTGGACAGCCTAATTCAAACCAATGCATAAAGTTGTGGACGAGCATCACAGAGTTGCTGCAAATACAACAAATACAAGCATGTCTTCAGGTGTGTATTTTTCTTTTGTTAATACTGTTCGTTTGAAACGCTGTGATCCTCTCAGGCTGCTCTAGCTCTGCCTGACAAGGGGATTTACATTCAGACTAATGCAACGTAATGGGGGTTGGTACTTTCACTTTTCACTGCTACAGCCCCTCCCTCATCTCTGTTTTTGTGTTGAGTCCGTTACAATCACAGACAGGCAGTCAGGCAGCATAATGCTGAGAGTGAATCAAAGCGCATCAAATGATCAGTAATTAAAAGGGGAAGAAAGAAAAATAGAATAAATATATATACTTTTATATTAGACACAGATCTGATGCTTGTATTTGTATTTGTAACAGTTTCTGCTCAACTCAGGGAACTCAACCAATCCCATGACGTCAGACACAGTGACATTCCAAGATGGCGGCGCCCTAGGTCTTAAATCTATAGTAAAACATGCCGTTTTCTGCTAAATGCTTACATTAATCAAGTTTGTTTAATGTATTTTCATTAAAGTTTAATGTATTTTCATAAGGTAAACTTGACTGAGTGCTTCATTTCCCCTTTAACAGTAAACTAATGCTAATAATAAACTGTTAGCAGCTAGTGCTAGAATGTATTGGAGCAGGGTTATTAGAAGTAAATACTAAATTTTCACCTAACTAAATCGTGTGTGTGCGTGTATGTTTTAACTTCAGATAAACTTTAACTGATATAAAATGATGATTAAAACTTTTACTTATATTATATCAGGTATTATTTCTGCAGAATATTTTTAAATATATTTTTGGATAACTATATATGCTAAATACAACTATACCTCAAACATAGACTTACTTAGGAGGAATATTCTCTGGTCTACTCGACCAGTCTGCCATGCGGTCTGAATCCTTCATTAAGATGTCATCATCTCTGATCTTCTCCATGACCTCCTCCTGAGCGAACACGCACACACATACACACGCGCAAACAAACACAGACAGCTAATGAAGATAAGCCAGAGTACAGCTCATAAATTAGATGATCCACAATGTTCTCAGGAGAAAAAGTACCTGACTGTCTCTCCTCGTGTCCACGTCAAAAATGATCTGCCCTTCATCCTGAGGACTGTGAGGTCGAGGAGGACTGTGAAAGAATTATTTGTTTATTTATGTTTTAATGATTTGGCTATATTCATGGCAAAACCTATATGAAATACACAATATTTAACATATAATCATATCAGTTTTCTAACAAACATACATTGTAAAAAAAACAAACAAACAAACAAACAAACAAACAAACAAACAAACAAAAAACTTAATACTAACAACACTGAATAGAATACTGAATATAGAAAGTTTTAGAAACACTTAAAATTTTATTTTGATTAAAGTTAAATATTCTAAAACTGCTCCAGAAGAAACATTTTCAAACATTTTGCTTAAAATATTTATTGAATAAAAATGTTCTCTAATATCATTTAAAATACACATTCTATTAAAATGTTTTATTGTCAAAATGTTCTTACACAAGTCACAAATAGATTTTTCTTCCCTGTTCAATAAATATTAGTGTGTTAGTCTTGAGTGTCTGATTCTACATCTCGTATGTACAATCTGATCATGTCTATTTTCAAAATGGTGGACTGTGAAAGAAAAGTCATTAAACATGAACAGATGTAGCTCTGTTATACACTGAAGTTTTTATAGTGCTTTATTTGTAATTCCTTGTTGCAATTTTCATTCTTTTCAGGTCAATTAAAACCACCAATCATTAGCCTGGTTTGGTTTCCATTACCGATTTGAGCAAAACGTTTGTGATCTCATTAAATTAAATAAAAAAAGTGAAATAATTATTGTAAAATAAACTTAACTATGCATTAACCAATGTTATGTAGTTCATTTTTTTCTAATATACAATTTGAAGGTCATTGGTAGGGTTCACATACAGTTGAAGTCAGAATTATTAGCCCCCCTAAATTATTACACCGCTTGTTTATTTTTCTCCCAATTTCTGTTTAACATATTTCTAAACATAATAATTTTATTACTCATTTCTAATAACTGATTTATTTTATCTTTGCCATGATAAATGTAAATAACATTTTACTAGATATTTTTCAAGACACTTCTTTACAGCTTAAAGTGACATTTAAAGGCTTAACTAGGTTAATTAAGTTAACTAGGCAGGTTAGGGCATATAGGCAAGTTATTGTATAATGATGGTTTGTTCAGTAGATTATCGAGAAAAAATATAGCTTAAAGGGGCTGATAATTTTGTCCCTAAAATGGTTCATAAAAAATTCTAAACTGCTTTTATTCAAGCCGAAACAAAGCAAATAAGACTTTCTCCAGAAGAAAACATATTATCAGACATACTGTGAACATTTCCTTGCTCTGTTAAACATCATTTGGAAAATATTTAAAAAATTAAAAAATAAATCAAAGGGGGCTAATAATTCTAACTTCAACTGTATACTGCAGCTAGAGATTTAATCAAAGAAAACACAAGTGATTTGTCCAGTGTGTTATCGCTGTGAAAGTGAAAAAGCAAAACTTTCATACAGTATATCACCCTTAAAATCTAACTTGAATATTGACCTCTTGTTTTTAAGACCGTATTGATGTGTTAAATAACATTTAGAAGTTGTTGTATATTACTTAGTGTACATTGTTTTCATTATAGCACTGTTGGTTGTAAGATCTTTTTTAAAGTTGAAACCTAAAGTGGTGTCTTACAAAGTAGAGATAATTTCTCTAATTTAACTGAAACATCCTATCTTGGTATGGTTCTTCACCACTATAGAATTGTTTTATTTACCCTCAGCAAGGAAAGATGATACTACATTTATAGCACAGATTATTTGAATACATTCAATAATATTATAACTACTAAAAAAAGCATATTGTAGTGCACACTGTTACAGTTGTATCATAACTGATAGACTTAAATTCTTCTTGACCTTACAAAGAGCACATTTCAAATTAAATTTTAAAAATCTGTTTCAAACAAAAGCAAATTTAAAACCAATTTTTGAATATTGAAATTAATTTAAATTCCTGAAAAGTTAAACAAACAGTTTTGACAAAAATATTACGCAGCACAACTATTTTTAACACTGATAACAATACAGAAATCTTTTTTGGGTCCCAAATCATCAAATCAGAATAATTTCTGTAAGATCATGCGAAAATAAAGCTGGATTAATTATGATAAAAAATAGGTTTCCTTTGCACTGCAACTTTTCAAAACCCTTTTTTTTTTTTTTTTTTTAAAGATATTGAAAAAAACACCTCATGCAAGCATAGAATCTTTTTGTGATACACGGAAGCTTTTACAAAACTAGCACTTTTGCTTTAGGTGCATTTTCAATTCGGTATTTGAATTTGGCCAATTTGAAGGTTAATAAAACTTTATAGACAATACTATGCTTCAAAGCACATCAAGCTTCAAAGCGCTTCAAAGCACAGTTCAGAAACAGGAGTTTTCAATGTTTATTTTTGGGGTGAACTGCTCTTGCACTCTGTGATAGAAACCTAGTTTGTGTACACATGACAGAAAAACCACAGTATTTCTAAAGCAAACATCCTGAATCATATGACTCATTGAGTTTGAGTGAGATAAGATCTATTTTGGCCATATGCTATCAGCACGAGGTCAATATGATCATGTGTGTTTTTGAATAGAAGTTTATAGCTCTACTCTCTATCGATGAGGTCATTAAACTCAAGCTGTGAACTCAGGTGACATTAAAAGATTAACTGTATATGCACATATGAACTATGTAAACAACATCTTAAAGGGCCAGATGTCAGATCATGTAGAGGACATAAAAGCATTACCTGCATTATGAGTTATAAAAGCACAAAATATTCCTGTGTGGATTTTTGATTTGTACTTTAGTAAGGTATGATATAGTGAAGTAATAACTCGCAAGAAAAGAGAGTGTAACTATCTTGCAATTGCAAATATTATATAAATTTTATTGATAAGTTCAACAATCAAGACATTAATACTGAGTGTTCAACATATTTTGTATAATATATTATGTTTTCTTTCTTCCCAAAACAAAGTAGGAAAACATGTCTTTATATTTATTTTGCACCTGAATAAATGAAATAATAAAAAAATATATCAAAGGTTTATTGATTTTTTTTTCATAGACAGTAAACACTTTCTTAGTTTCTAATCAGCTTTTTCAATAAATCATGTAAACTAGTGATTCAGTGATACATTAAGACAGTAACTTTTTCTTTTAGTGTCATATTTATTCATCCATGACAGGACTAAATTATTATTTGTGGAAAAAAATATTAAGATAATAATTTAGTATTTTATGTTGTACATTACTCTCTATCCCACTCAATTATCATTCATTCTTTGTTAAAATTCATACTTAGATTTAAAAAAATGACAATTCACTATAATATGCCATATATAGTCTACCTGTCACATGAGGAGTTACTTCGGCTGGACTCGTGCTGGGCATCTAGCAGGATTTTCTCCATGTCGCCATTGTGAATGGATGAAGAGGAGGGAACGTGCTCCAACCCCCCTACCATCCCATCATCCTCCTCTACAACCTGCGCGAGAGGCGGTGGCACTGAAGCGCTGGAGGAAGAGAGAGACGCAGCATTTCTGTTCATCTCCAGCTCTACCCAGGACCCTAAAAAAATGTAATTAATAATTAATTGTTATGTAAAATACATGTAAAACCCTCTGATTAAGAATGGATTAAGCTATAAGACAGAGTAAGCAAGTGAGTGAGTTTTTTTATATACACATTTCACATTACATTTTAAATTTCATGACATTTTATATTGTATTTTATATTTATATTATATTTTATACATGTTATAACATACAGTTGAAGTCAGAATTATTAGCCCTCCTCTGATTTTGTTTTCTTTCTTGTTCAACAGAGCAAGGACCTTTCTGCAGTATTTCTGATGATATTTTTTTCTTCTGGAGAAAAATCTTATTTGTTTTATTTTGGCTAGAGTAAAAGCAGTTTTGAATTTTTTACAAAACATTTTAAGGTCAAAATCATTAGCCCATTTAAGCTATATATATATATATATATATATATATATATATATATATATATATATATATCTTTTTTTTTTTCAATAGTCTACAGAACAAACCATCATTATTCAATAACTTGCCTAATTACCCTAACCTGACTAGTTATCCTAATTAACCTAGTTTAGCCTTTAAGAGTCACTTAAAACTGTAAAGAAGTGTCTTGAAAAATATCTAGTACAATAGAATTTACTGTCATCATGACAAAGATAAAGTAAATCAGTTATTAGAAATGAGTTATTATAGTGTGTTTATATATAAAACTATTTTATTATTATTATTTTTAATTATAAAAATCAATAAATTGATAAAAAATGATAAGAAGCACATTTTTGTAACTCAATAAAAAAATCTATTTCAAACAAAAACAAATTTATTCATAAAAATATTCATAAAAATTCATAAAAATTCCTGACAAGTAAAATAAACAGTTTTGACAAAAAAATATTATGCAGCAAACACTGATAACAAAACAGAAATCTTTTTTGGCTCCCAAATCATCATATCAGAAAGATTTCTGGAAGATCATGGGACAGTAAAGCTAGAATAATTCTGCTAAAAATGTAGCTTTGCATCACAGGAATTGTAATGGTAATATTGGCTGCAGCAAGTAAAAATATAAATCCGAAATGAAGAAGTTAAAAGTTTTAAACAACTAAACGAGGAGCAGGTGAAGGTAATTATCAGTGAAATAATGATCTCTTAGAAAAACTCATCTAAACTAAATGTGACAATTTTAATAGTTATGTTTCCTTAATTAAATAAATACACACACACACACCACAAATATATACATATATATATTTTTGTATATATATATATATATATATAATATATATATATATATATATATTTTTTTTTTTTCTGTATCTGAAAGCCAAGCACAAATAGTAGTTGTTCATCTGCCTAAAGAATATAGGTATAGTAGTATATATACTAATAAAGCATATAGTATAATATTGCTATAATACAAATGACTCCAAGGTTTTAGTACAAGATATAATAACAAAATTATGATGAAAATTTAATAAATGTCTCGTTAAACTCTGTAAACTCTTTTGACAGGAAAATCTTAGTTATAATAAATACACAAAATGTTATTTAAAATAAATGTTACATCAAATGATTCAATTTCTAAATAATATAAAATATAATTTAAAAAATATTAAATGTTCAGATTTGGGGGTACATGGGATTGTATCCATTGATCTACAAGACACAGAGACAAACAGGACCGAGAGTACATTGTACAAAGAAACAAAACAACAACAACAAAACCTACTAATAGGAACAACACTGAATAGAGTCATATACAATATTTTATTTTAATTAAAGTTAAATATTCTAAAACTGCTCCAGAAGACACCTTTTCAAACATTTTCCTTAAAATATTTCCTGAATGAAAAACGTTCTCCAATATCATTTAAAATACACGTTCTATTAAAATATGTTTTATCGTCAAAATATTTTTACACAAATCACAAATAGGTTTTTCTTCCCCGTTCAATAAATATGAGTGTTAGTCTTGAGCCATCAGACAGGTGGTCTGGTGGCTTAACTTCTATTAAACTGTGGTGAAAGGACAGTAAAAGTCTCCCTCTCTGGCTCCTTGCACAGATATTAGTCACAGCTGACCTCACCACACTGCATGCTGTACGTGAGAGTCCATACTCAACGCTCCCAGAGGATCACCTGATAAATGCAAACACAAACACACAGACTCCTTTCATCCATGACTCAGGGATGAACACGGCTAAGCTTTCCGTGCTCCCCTTTCACCCACATCTGCTGTGCTGTCTCATCAGAAACGTCTGTGTTATCGCACAGTGAATCCTCTATTTACCGCTGGTTTACATTGCTGACCAGTTAAGTGTAAACCCAATGCCAAAAAGCCCCACTTCCATTTCCAGGAAAACAAAAAGAGGAAGAAAACAGAAGGTTCACGTGACTTCCTTGGGTTGAGCAAACATTGGGTAAGTCTACATGGACACTAGCAATCTGGTTATTTATTTACCTTATTCAGAAGGAGACTATATATTAAGATTACAGTGTTTACATCAGTCACTTCTAGAATATTCCTTCCATGTTCCCGTTTTACATGTTATGGTAAAAATGGCTGTAAAAATGCTTCTTAATATATACAGCAAATAACCATAAATTGACTTCTCCCAGAATTCCCTCCAGGACACTTTACTTACTTTTTATGTTAATATTAATATAATTTTTTTATTTTGTTTCTCATCAATTATGCACATTAGAATGTTCTCTTGTGCCATGTGTGTTACCCTGATGTTTTTTAGTAGTTTTATCAATGATATGTTATGATGTGGGCGATGCAGAGGTGCAGTAGGAAGTGCTGTCGCCTCACAGCAAGATGGTCACTGGGTTGCTGGTTCGAGCCTCGGCTCAGTTGGCTTTTTTGTGTGGAGTTTGCATGTTCTCCCTGCGTTCGCGTGGGTTTCCTTCGGGTGCTCCGGTTTCCCCCACAGTCCAAATGAGTGTGGCGGATGAGACTATAAAGCTGGACTTATACTTTCGCCTGGTGCCGCATCGCGCACCTCCGTGACTACGCGCGCACCTCGCGAAACGAACAAGGCTTTTATACTCGCGCATTCGCAGTTGTGATATTCTTTAAAACGACAGGGGGCGGTCAAAAGAAACTGACCTGAAAGTCATACAAATAAACAGAGAAGTAGGAAGTTTCCGGAACTACCTCATATAATTAATATCCTTCAATACTTTTGAACAAATTATTTTTTATTGTTTTTATAAAATATTTTAATGATTATAAGGACTTTTATAACCATTCAAGATTTTTTTTAAATTAAACTTTGATGCATCACGTTCTCGGATCCTCTTATCTGATTGGATGTTCTAAGCTTCTTATTTTTTCCGTAACATCCAGTACAGCGAAGAGACAGCAACATGGCAGCAACATCAAATAATAATGCTAAGGGAAAACATTTGTTTCTAACGCATTAAAAGCAGACATTTATAAGGATACGCCACGACTAAAAAAATGAAGTGATGTTTTGAACAGTTTGACGTCAGTTTGGCAGGTCAGCCATCTTTTTTGTAATAAAATACCTGCAACTTTTGTTTGCAAAACACTTTGAATTTTGCTCATTATACATTTATAAACATTTTTCAAATATTTAAATTCAAGATTTACAAATATTTTGACACACGTTTTTTTTTTTAAATTAGTGACTAAGAAATAGCTATTAACTTTTTTTTTTTTTTGGTGAGGGACAGTGAAAATATTGGCAGGACAAGTAAAAATCTGAACCCCTGGTCCGATCGGGCCAGTAGAAAAAAATCCCTAGTGTTAAACCCTGCATTTACAAGCGCTTTACAATACTGTAAGGACACGGCAGCAATACTGTAAACACTTTTACACTGTACCATATTTTTAACAGCAAAATTCTAGCAACCATAGCTGCCAGTTTGTAACTTCAGTATTTTTATATATTTTTTACATTTCATTTCATTGTATATAGATGATGATTAATTATGATTAATAACATGTTATAACATACCAACATGACACCTTCCGATTCAGTCCATCTTTGATATGGTACCCTACATATGCTTTTTGCTGTTTTATTTTAAATGTTATGAAAGCTTGTAAATTATTTCTTATGCTATGCATAAACAGACAAGATATGCAAACAGACAGATACTAATTCATATTCAAACTTAGAGTCCTAGAGCAAATACTTCTCTACTGTATAGTACGCAAGGCGAGCAGTATGTTTAAGTATTTTAAAAACAGTAGGTAAGAAGTAACAGCATGACCTATTGCTTGACCTACTACACCTGACTTCTGTATGAATACAATTTCAGATGCAGTCAAAGCCTTTTGCTCTTTTATATGCATTGTAAGTTGACCACTGCAATTCGTGTTTATCATGTTGCAAAAGGTGTTCCTTCATGATGCTAATACTAATACTGTGATCAAGGTGTGTACATGTCTGATACAGATAATGTGACCAAATTAGAAATACTCCACATTTTAAAGGAATAGTTCACCCAAATCTAAATTATGTAATCCATTACTAATCCTCTACTCATTCCAAACCTGTTTGAGTTTCTTTCTTCTCTTAAACACAAAGGAAGATATTTTGAAAAATGTTAAAAGAAAAAACAGCTATTGATTTTTAGTTCCTATTATAAATGTCAACGGCTGCTGGTTTCCAACATTCTTCAAAATATATGTTTGTGTTTATCAGAAAAAAACACCTAAAATGTGAGTAAATGTTGAGTAAATGTACATTTTTGGGCAAACTATATCTTTAATTCAATTTGAGTTTACTTCAAGTGTGACTTTAGCTGGATAAAAGTAACCTAAATAATCTCTATAGATTCTAAATGAGAATATTGTCTTAATTGTGTTAATGTCAGAATGTCAGGACATCATCCATGTAAGCATATTGTGATCAACTGAATTGGGCACTACTCTGCTGGTCTCTTCAGCAGAGGAATATTGTGAACTGGTCCATACTGGCATCTGACCTTTGTTTCAATCCACTAAAACAAACAGTGTTGGCATGGCAGCAGCAAACGGAACATTCTGGCCAA